AAAAAAATACTCTGTTTTTATGACATTAGCACTTTATGGGGCAAGAGGGGGCAGAGACAGAATTCCACTCCCAAGAATTTCAGATATTAAAGCAATATCTGGACATGTCAATTCAAATTCAATTCAGATCTGACTTCGTAGGAATGAAGGAAAGAGCTGGTAAGCAGGATCAGATCAAATTAGCTTTTCAGAAGTCATTGTTAATTTCTTCTCTCTTTTGCCCCCCTTTTTCTTTTTGAACCTTTCAATTCCCTCCTAGTTCTCTTAACCCTGCTAGACATAATAAATGAATTCTGATTGAATTGGTGACACTCATTCTGAAAGGCAGAGACCAGCCTTGGACATCTCTCTTTCCTCTCTGGTCAACACCCTATAAAAAAGGAGAATTGCCACAAACCCCTTCTTGAACCCAGGTGCAGTAGGGCTGTGGATAGAAGCGCTCCTGGGGAGATGATGGAACATAATGCACCACTTCCAGAACATGCATGTGTATTTTTGGATGTTAACCCCTTTGATTGGTTTGTCTTTGCAGGGATAAAAAGTCTGGTGTCCAAACAGAAAGCACCAGTTACTTATAGCCACAAGAAGGGCTTAGAATGCATCTCGCCATTATTCTGCACCGTACAAGAAACACCTCAAGCGATCCCAGTAGAACTCCAAGGGCAGATTCCCAAATGGTTGAAAGGAAAGCTATTGAGGAACGGGCCAGGAAAGTTTGAGTTCGGACCAGATAAGTACGCTTATTTCAATTGCTATGGATGCTGCTGTCTGCTCTGCTAAGGATTAAAAAGCCAATAGATAATTTTATTCTGGTCTGCAGTCTTGATCAACTTTCTCCATTCATGTACTTCAGTAATTTGACCCATCAGTTGTGTCTTAGGTAGAAAGAATCCTTGAGTACATATTTTCTTGATTTAAGGGAGATATAATGACAACGAAGGACATGGAGAAAGCTGATTTAGTAATAAACTTTTTTGAGGGGAGGGTTGCCTTCTTTAGAAATAACCCTTTTAACAATTCGAAAATAATAGCTTTGCAAGAATTACAGTCTTTAAAACCTGAGGTACACTTTGTGTGCACTTGTATACTGAAAGGGGCACTTTTTGTCATCTAAGTGGATGCTTGGAACAGGTAGGGGTAAGCTTTGCACATGGCTTTGTCTTCCTCTAAGCTGGATTTGTCTTCTCCAAATGAAGGTACAACCACTGGTTTGATGGCATGGCACTCATGCATAAGTTTGAAATTGAGGATGGGGTGGTGAAATACAGCAGCAAGTTTCTCCGGAGTGATTGTTACCTGACCAATAGCAAGAACAACCGAATCATGATCTCTGAATTTGGCACCGTGGCCATACCAGATCCTTGCAAGAACATTTTTGAGCGCTTCATGTCAAAGTTTGACTTGCCAAGTAAGTATCATTTTTGGATCAGGTTTTTTTTTGTAAGAAGAGGGGAGAGGGGGAAAACTTCTGGACAAAGTTGGTCTTCCAACTCTGTCCTTGGCAATTTCACAGAAATTGGCCTTAAGAAAAGGCGTAGCAGAACAGACTAAGTCCATTTGTGACTACGTAGAAGTTCTAGGCTGATTCCTCTTTTGACTCTGCCCCCAGTTCTGCCACTCCTTCTCCTACACTTTCAGTCTTTTGATCCTGGCAACTTAGTGACAATGGAAATGTTTTCTGTATTGAATTTATGACAATCTAATGAGGTGAATTTTGTACTGCAGAAGAGACAGACAACTGCCTTGTGAATTTTGCGGTCATCAAAGGTGACTATTTTGTCAGCACAGAGACCAGTCAAATGCACAAAGTGGATCTAGACACACTTGAATCAAAGGAGAAGGTAAAGCAATGGAGCAGGCTACCTGGCATTGAGTTAGCTTACTACCTAAATCTGGATTGACAGGCAGTTTTTCAGGAGCTGTGGAGATACTGAGGATTTAATCTGGATCTTCTACAAATGTTGTCTCCAGGTTCATGAGTAGATACGCCCTTGTGGAACAGTTGCTGGGAAACCTAATTGGGAAAGAGTAGTTGCCCTCATCCTACTAGTCATGGCCATCCCACAAAACAGCTTTTAGACTCAGAAAGAGGACCATGTCTCACAATGAGTTGTTGAGATCAGCTTCCCCTACTCTGGTTCTGTCCAGATGCAATGACCTCTCAGCTGGTGTGGGAATTCTGAGAGCTTCAGTTCTATCTGGAAGGTGTCCAACTCAGTTGCCTGCCGTCTTTATCCTTGCAGGTGAACTGGAAAAAATACGTTGCGGTGAATGGAGCCACAGCTCACCCCCACTATGATCCAGATGGAACAGTCTACAACATGGGCAACTCTTACGGGACACATGGTAAGACAAACAGAAATATCTGACCAGCATTTTAATGTCTGGAATTAGATACTAATCTCAGGGTATGGTTTTGACTTCATTGGTGAGTATGCCTCCTTTCTAACCAACCCAGGCCCTTCTTGGCTTTTCATGCCAAACTGACAGTTACTTAACATCAAAAAACCTCAGTCAATTCAAGGATGATACAAGTATTTTTCCAATGAGTGGACGCATAGGCTTTGAGTCAGATGCTACAGCCCTTTTAACTGGATCAGAGGACCTGGAAAACCTGAAGCGACATCTGATGGCTCATATGTCTGAATTTTACACTGAAGGTGAAGTGGCTGTGGATTTCTCTGACAGTGCATGATCTCGGTGGTCTCCCCTTCCAAATCTTTGATGGGTGCTGCCCATACCTCAATTCCAAATTCAGTTATTGCAGTTCCCAAGAGCCAGGCTTTCTCTCTTACAGGCTCCAACTATAACATCATCCGTGTTCCTCCCCAGACGTCTCAGCCGAGTGACTCCAGCCTGCAGGGCGCAGAGGTGCTGTGCACCATTCAGCCAGAGAACAGAATGAAGCCAGCCTATTATCACAGTTTTGGTGAGAGGACCATCCTCCTTTTGGCCATCACCATCTTTACTAGAAACGCCAGAAAGAGGCAGCTGGAGTTGCAAAAGTGAAATGGTGAAAAGTGGGCCAATAATTTGGAATGCTGCTGATGTGATCTGTCACGCAACCTGAATAAAATCAAGTAGAACAGGAAACGTAATAGGAAATATTAAATTAATGAAATTCATTGCTCCAAGCCATGAATGATTTACCAGAGCAGTTCATATAAAAACAATGTAACATCTTTTGCTAGCTGGTGGCCATAACAAATTGAAATTGAAATCATGCCCTGTGAAACTATGAAGCAGAACAAAAATTGTTGGCTCCTGGCTGTACCCCAACTGCTGGCCTTCCATTGGAAGCTAGAGGGGGGATTGCGTAAATGAAGTCTGGCAATTCCTTTTTTTTAAAAAAAATGATGATTAAAAAAAAAGCATGGCAATTCCTAAGTAGGTGGTGTAGCAGCACCCTAAGGCATTACATTCACAGAGTGTTAAATTGAATAATTTGAAATTACTGGCCGTTATGGTGAATAATCTGAAATTGTTTTGGCAACAAAGGATGGAGCTGGCAGGTCGAAAGATAAAGCAACCTTGTTGTTGGAAAAGTCCATGTAATTAGATGGAAGAATCGGAATCAGCTCTTCATGAAAAGAAGTGGCCCAACTCTTCTTCTGTTTCTAGGAATGAGTGAAAACTACGTGATTTTTATTGAGCAGCCCGTCCAAATAAAGTTATGGGAAGTCATTACAGCCAGTTTTTCTGGGAAAAGCTTTCTGGATGCACTGAGTTGGGAGCCTCAGCTAAACACTCGCTTTTATGTCGTGAACAAGCACACGGGGCAGGTAGGTCGCCTGTTTGGCTGGACCCGGTAACTTCCTGATATGCCTTCTCTGGAGTCTGCAGGGCCGGGCAGACGAGACTGTTGCTCTTCTCATCCTGGGTGGTAGAAGGTATCAACGAGCAAACCAAAGTTTTCCCCAGATTATTTTGGGGTGGCGGCTCCCAGAATGCCTCTATGCTATTGGCCAGAGTGGCTGAGAATGGTGGGGGAGTTGAGCTCCTGAGATCTTTGGAGAATGTCAGATTAGGAAAGATGACTTCTACACTTTTTTGCTTTGCCCCTCTGTTAAAATCCTTTCAAGAATCAGCCTGATACATAAGGAAAGATTTTAAAGAAGTTGTGCCCAGGACCAATTGTTTGGGTGTCCCCGAAGAGCAGGAATTCACCCCCACGTCTTCCCCTCTTGCTGCAGACCTTACCTGTGCAGTACCATAGCAAGGCCTTCTGCTACTTCCATCAAATCAACGCCTTTGAGGACCAGGGGTGCATTGTCCTGGATCTCTGCTGTTTCGATGATGGGAAAGTTTTTGACATCTTCCGACTGCAGAACCTCCACAAGGCTGGAGAAGCCCTTGACCAGGTACCGCTGCTCTGCCCTCCCCTCCACATTGTGGGCACTGAGAGGGAGCTTCATCTTGCAGACCAGCTTGGTATCTCCCAGGGGTGCTGGACAGGGGTGCTCCAGTCCTAGACACGGGTGGGAGGCGGAGAAGTTCTCTTCCCTCTTGGCTGTCCTGCTCTTCATCCTTGTGGCGTGATCACAGAACGTGGATCTGTTTCTCTGTGCAATGGCTTTTTTTTTGTTGTCTTGGCAGACCTATAACATGCTCCCAAAGCCATTTCCATGGCGCTTTGTTCTCCCCATCACGGTGAGCTCCAAGGCGTCTGTGGGGCAGAACCTTAACCCTTTGTCCTACACATTGGCAGAAGCTGTGAAGGAGGCGGATGGGAAGGTAGGCAATTTGTGTCTGTGTCTCTGTGTGTAATTTAGAAAGAATGAAAGCATTCCATTTTTTCTTGTTATCCTTTGGAAATCTCACCATCCTGCAACAGACTTGGCGGCTAGACTTGGGAAAAATAGTGGGAGTTCCATAAATGGGACCATTTTTTTCCAAAGACTAACTGAATGAAGCTGTGGAGAACTTGGATCAAAGGTATCATGGGTTGAAGCTTAAACTCATCCAAAGAAGGCTCTTGATCTGGGACGCTTAAGAGCCTCGCGGCGAGGTAGAGCTCATTTCATACTCACGAGAAAGTTAAGAACGGACACCCGAAGTTTGAAAGTCGATCCCTCCCTCCCTCCCTGCTCATGCTAAACTTGCTTGCTTCCAAGAGACTCGCCTCCCCACCTTATCAATTGCTCTTCAAACCAAGATTTTAAGGTTGTTCGGAGAGGTGGTGGTGGGTTAAATACCTTCATGCAAAGGTAAGTCAGCCACCGGGTGTGCTTAGATTGCAGAACTGAGCAGGGGGTGGATCAACGGCCTTGCCATCGCTCAGGTTTTGTGCCAGCGGTGCAAGGGATACGCAGAGCTGCAAGGAAGAGGTGGCATTTTCTAACTGAGAGAGAGAAAAAACACTCCCCTCTTTGCAAGATGCTGTTACTCCCAAGGAGGTGGGGATGGAACTGAAGGCCTGAAGGACCATGGTAGTTAATTCTGCAATTCAACTAAAAAGGAAAGCCTTTTCAGAAAAAAATAGTGTGTTGCCTCCAGAGGATGGGACCATCTAGAGGCAGTCCTTGACTTACAACCGTTCGTTTATCGACTGTTCAAAGTCATGACGATGCTGAAAAAAGCGACTTATGACCAATCCTTGCAATTATGACCATCGCAGCAATCCTCAGTCACATGATCAAAATTTGGATGCTTTACGGAGATTGCCGCATCTCCGGTCATGTGATTGTCATTTGTGACCTTCCCAGCCAGTTTCCAACAAGCTGTGTCCGTATGGGGAGGCTTACTTAACAACCATGTGATTCACTTAAGAACTGCAGTGATTTGCTTAAGAACCGAGGCAAAAAAGGCCATAATATTGGGCATGACTTACTTAATAACCACCTTAGCGATGGAAATTCTGGTCCTAATCCTGGTTGTAATTTGAGGACTACCTGTACGCTTCAAGTGGCAGGGCCCCAAAACAGAAAGTATTGGGTGCCAGGAAAGGCTCCTGGAGAAACTTTCCAAGTTCAAGTAGTAGATGGATAAGGATTCTATAACGTGATTGATTCCACGCGGACTTTTCTAGATCTGGTGCACACCTGAAAGTCTGCACAACGAGGACCTCAAAGAAGCCGGAGGGGTGGAATTCCCTCAGATCAATTATGCATATTACTCTGGGAAAAAATATCGTTATTTCTATGGCTGCGGCTTCGGTCATGTCGTTGGAGACTGCTTGATCAAGGTTGATACAGAAACCAAGGAGATGAAGGTGAGAAGTGGGCAGCGATGCTCTTCTGTTGTTGTTACTGGTGTGGTGGGGATGGAATTCCACTTCGAAAGCTCCTGAGCAAAAATACCCTTCTGTGCCCTTTGCTTTGTCCACCAGATTTGGCGCGAGAAAGGGATGTATCCTTCTGAGCCCATATTTGTGCCAGAACCCGATTCTTCAGGGACAGAAGACAAGGGAGTGATCCTCTCGGTGGTGCTCACCCCCAAGCAGGTAATTTAGGCCTCGTGGCAGAGGTCAAGGTCTACTCTTTGAATATTCCTTTTAGATGGCTGAAAATGTTTTTTCCTTGTGAACGCTGCAAGACATCTGGGGTTTCCAAATGCTGGGATTTTTTGGAGCATGTAAAAGTGAACATGATTTACTTTTCTTCTCTAGACCCCTAAAAGAGCAGAGGAAACAGATGCTTTGCACGGGGAGGCATAATATATCCCTCTTTCTTTCAGAATGAAGGCAGCTTCCTTCTTGTTCTGGATGCACAGAATTTCACCGAACTGGGCCGCACTAAAATCCCTGTCCAGATCCCCTACGGCTTCCATGGTGGCTTTGTACCCAACAAAAATGCCCCCTGCTGAGACAGCAGAGATTCGGGGACCTGCCCCGTGATGTCCAAAACGCTGTGGACAGATTACTTCTTCTAGATGTGCCTTAATTTCCTAGGCTACCCAATTGGGCTCTACTTTGATGGACAGAGAAATAGCCATTTTTCTCATCTAAGTCAAGTTTTCAAATGCAAAGCAAGACTTCATGATGTGATGCATATTGATCAGTAGGAAGTGATAATAAATTAATCAGAATAGAGCTGGAAGGGACCTTGGAGGTCATCTATCCAGTCCAACCCCTGCTCAAGAAGGAGACCCTATATAATTTCATACAAGTGGCTGTCCAGTCTCTTTGTAAAAACCTCCAGTGATGAAGCACCCACAATTTCTGGAGGCAAGTTGTTCCACCGGATAATTGTTTTCCGTCAGGAAGTTTCTCCTTAATTCTAGGTTGCTTCTCTCCTTGAGTAGTTTCCATCCGTTGTTTCTTGTCCTGCCTTATTACTTATTGTGCTTATTACTCACATACTGCCCATATACACAAGCTTTTTTATTTTATTTTTTAAAAAGAGGCTTTGCTAAACATAGAACAGAATAAATTCTTAATTTTTCTATTAATTGGTTTAATTTACGATGGGATGTAGTCTGGATTCCCAGGAGGGAGAGACTGCATCCCAGATGGCAAAGAGGTAGCGGGGCTTGGAAAGTTTGGTGGAGGGTTAAAACGGCTCCTTCCTAGCGATTTCCAGAATTTATCTGCAGTTATGCAGATCGCTACTTTAGTCTGGCAAGAGTCTGTCTATAAGGGAACAAGAATAAAGGAACTCACTCTTGAGTAACTCCACGTGTCATTCTTGGTCCTTGTAGCCCAACTATCAGGTTTGAACTGGCGCAGAGCCCTTCAGACACTGTTGAGAAATCTTGGCAATCATATCAGATATTTTTTTTCCTCTTTGTACAGGGGGCATCTCAGTCCATTAACCCTTGGCTCAATTCAAGCTGTAGCTGACTCACCCTTGAGGTCCCACCTTTGAGAAGTTCTTTGAACCCATTTCTCTGCGAGAGTGGCCGTTCTTCATATTGGGAGAATCCACCCCTTTCTCAATCCCCACTCTTGGGCTGGCCATCTAAGGGGCAGAGAGCATGCAGAGGTCTTTCGCTTATCAAGGCTTCCCTGGGTCTGCCCACCACAGATAGGCGGGGCTTCTTACAAAGAACTTGAACCTAATTCCAACCAACAATCCCAATTCCTTCCCCCACCCCAGGAGATGTCACAAGTAAGCACCTTGATTTCATCTTCTCCCTTCCACGCTCAAGCTTTTGAGATGGACCAAAACAGCTGCTTATTCTCTTAACCAGGGCTGGGCTCAGGATAAGCAATAGAGCCAGGGGTCTCCAACCTTGGCAACTTCAAGACTTGTGGACTTCAACTCCCAGAATTCCTCAGCCAGCTTTGCTGACTGAGCTTTGCTGACTGAGGAATTCTGGGAGTTGAAGTCCACAAGTCTTAAAGTGGCCAAGGTTGGAAACCGCTGCAATAGATGGTCCCAGCCACTTTCTCATCCCATCCAGAAACTACTAATGGCAAAGGCAGGAGAGCAAGGTGAGAAATTGAAGGTTGGGAAGCAGTTGCCAACCAGCACATGGGAAGCCCAAGTGGGGATCATTGAGGCTTCCCAACAGCATCAAACTCTCTGATCAGAAATGGCCTTGAAAGCATTGAAGAATATAAATGAATCACAGCAGAACAATGAGGACATCTGGAAGTTCTAAAGATGTTCTGATTGGTAAAATTAAGTTTGATACCTCAGAACAAGACTCAATTAAATGCAATTTCCCCTACAATTCTGTTCCTTTCCCAGCCACTGCATCCACCCAGTGAGGGTTTGGAAACAAACACCCTTCTGTGTGGAAAATCTCTGGTGCCAAGAATGTCCTGGCACAGGCCAGGAATTCAGTCATAAGCTGAGTAGAACTTCAAAGGTTGAGATACTCTGGGAAGGAGGGCATTTCCTGGGCCAAGATCTTCAGAGGCCGACACTTTCCGACCTTGTGAGAAGTTTGAGGAGGGGGCAATCAAAGGTCTGGATTAAGGAAGGCTGAGAACCACCTATGGTAGGGGGTCTCCCAACTTGGCAGCTTTATGGCTTGCAAACTTCAACTTCAAGAATTCTTCAGCCAGCACGGGAGTTGAAGCCCACAAGCTGCCACGCTTGGAGAGACCCCTGATCTATGGGGCATTTTGGAAGCTTTCCAGACAAGTGGGGCAGCAGGCTCCAGTTCCGAGGGGGAACTTTCCAGGGGTCTCCCGAAAAACGAGGATTTAATGCAATTCAGCAGATGAAAAGAGGGAGGGGGTGGTGTCTTCAGGATTCCTAACCCGCTTGAGATGTTCAGTCTGGAGGGCTAAGGGGAGAGACCACAAGATGCCAGAATTCCAGATGCCATGAAGAAGGCCAGGGATTGTTTTCCATAAAGCAGGAGCAGAACCACCTGGTCTAAATGGCAGTTGTCAAGTTTCCATTTAACTATAACGGAAGACTTCCTGATGGGAAGATCTATTGAACTGTCTAGTAATAGTTCTCCTTCTTGGCAAGTGGAAGATGTGTTGTTTTCAACTCCCACAATTGGATCCTGGAATTCTGAACTCTGGGCGGCTCCCAATCGAAAGTTAACACAGCACACAAAAGCCCCATTAAAAACGATTAAAAACCCATTAACTATTAAAACAACAACAAAGGAGTCATCTTATCTTATCTTACCCAGTGTTTGTGTTTGCATTTACACTAATAGCAGAGGAAGGGGGTAAAGAGGGGAGGAAGGTGCCAGGGAAGGTAGGGGAGGGGTCCAAAGCCCTTCTTCGCTCTGTAAACTGATTGTGCTCTTGTCAGTTTCAGGCACTGCTTGTTAACTTGGCTGGGGCTTTGCAGGGAAGCTCAGATGCAGGACTGAAAAGCCCCGACAATATTGGACTTTGAATGCCACATACAAAAATAATAATAAAAAAAGAGGGCTTGTCCACCTTTGGCCGGACACCTGGTCATTCAAGCTAGCTCTCTCTTGCCCCTTTGGCAACCTGGCCTCTGCCCAGGGCTGGAGAGGTCCTGCGGGTGGGCCGAAAGCTCGCTCCAACCCCCCCCCCCCCCCCCCCCCCTCTCCGCCCTCCCTTCTCGCGCACGCGCGGTGGCGCCCGAAAGAGAGAGAGCGAGGACCCGTTGCCATGGCGCCACCGCCCGCCCGCCGGGCCCGGGTCTCGCGCTGCGCGGCCTTCAGCGCCTCCCACCGGCTGCACAGGTGACCGGGGGGTGGGCGGGGGTGGAGCGAGAGAGGAGGAAGAAAGGGCTCCTGAGCGCGTGCAGAGCGCCGGGGACCTCCGGCCGGCCGGGGAAGGGCGTTCCCGTGTGTGTGTGTGTGTGTTGGTGGGTGGGCGCAGATGGCAAAGCGGCCATGGTATCTTCCCCCCCCCTCCAAAAACTTGAGGGGGTGGCTGTTCTTATGCCTGTTTTTTTTAAAGAATTGGGAGCCCCCCTCCCTTCCCCCCTCCCCCAGGCGGCTCCGCGCAGCCCTTGAACCCCGTAAAGGGAGGAGCGCCCCTGCCCACTAGGCGCCCCGACCCTCTGTCCCACCCACAAGCCCCCATGCTTGCAGAAGAGCAGGCAGGAAGGGCCCGGGGCCCGGTGCTGCCCCTGCCCCTGAAAGTGGGAAGGGACCTTGGAGGTCATCTAGTCTGTCCTCCCCGCCAGGGCAGGGTCCCTCTGAGCATTCCAGGTCAAGGGCTGGGCCACCTGGGCTTCAACCCCTCCCTCTCCTCCATCAGCAGTGGTCAAACAGGCAGGGTGTGCCCCCCCTCCCGCTCCAGGTCAGGAAATCCCTCCTTATCCTGCCTTGGGATCTCCCTGGGCTTAAGCTTCCTCATGCAGGGATCCGGTCCTGCCTTGGGACCCTCTGGAAAGCCAGCCCAGCTCCCTCTTCCGCCCCTCTGGCTTGCTTTGGACCCCTCTGTGGGGTCTCTGGGTTGGGGGTCCCCGCTGAGGAAGCTCAGCCGGTCCGGTGGGTGAAGCCCAGCCAGGGACAATGCTGTGGAGTGTCCACCCTTCCAAGGGGATCCAGACCATTGTACCAGGCGTGACTACAATTGTTAAGACCCCGGGGGTCTCCAACCTTGGCAACTTTATGACTGGTGGACTTCAACTCCCAGAATTCATCAGCCAGCATGTGTTGGCTGAGGAAGTCTGGGAGTTGAAGTCCACCAGTCGTAAAGTTTATTTTATTTATTTATTTATTTGATTTGTCAATTGTTTACAAGATAATAAGTACAAGTGTATACATAGCTGTGAATATATGAAATGGGTACATATAAGAAAAATAAAAGAATAAGAGAAACAATAGGACAGGGACGGTAGGCACGTTGGTGCGCTTATGCACGCCCCCTACAGACCTCTTAGGAAAGGGGTGAGGTCAATAGTAGACAGTCTAAGGTTAAAGTTTTTGGGGTTTGGGGAAGAGACTACAGAGTCGGGTAGAGTATTCCAGACATTGACCACTCTATTGCTGAAGTCGTATTTCCTGCAATCAAGTTTGGTGCGGTTTACTTTGAGTTTGTATCTGTTGTGTGCTCTTGTGTTGTTATGGTTAAAGCTGAAGTATTCATTGACAGGTAGGACATTGCAATGTATGATTTTATATACCATGTTTAAGTCGGACCGAAGACGGCGTAATTCGAGGTTTTCTAGTTTTAGAATTTCGAGTCTGGTGGCGTAAGGTATTCTATAACGGGTAGAAGAGTGGAGAACTCTTCTTGTGAAATACTTCTGGACTAAAGTTGCCAAGGTTGGAGACCCCTGGTTATGAATAGAATAGAATAGAATAGAATAGAATAGAATAGAATAGAATAGAATAGAGTAGGAGAGAATAGAATAGAATAGAATAGAATAGAATAGAATAGAATAGAATAGAATAGAATAGAATAGAATAGAATAAGAGTTGGAAGGGACCTTGGAGATCTTCTAGTCCAACCCCCTGCTTAGGCAGAAAACCCTATACCATTTCAGACTACAGTTCTTCCTTCCGCTTTCTCTGCAGCCCATTCCTGAGTGATGAAGAAAACCGGAAACTTTTTGGGAAATGTAACAACCCCAATGGCCATGGCCACAACTATAAAGGTGAGAAGGGAGGAGCCTCCGTCTCTAAAACCAAGAGAAACAGGGTGTGTGTGTGGGGGGGGGGGGGCGGGACCTGATGCCCCATCATCCACAGAGTGATGAACCTTTGGGATGAAAGCTCACTCATCCTATGAAAATTGCATTCCTGGGACAGACTTCATGTGTGCATGAATGTGCAATTATTCATTTTGCACACCTGCTGAAGCCCACTAACTTTTATTCATTGCAGTCATGAATGGCATATGGCAAAGTACAACCATTGCCAATTAATTGCTAGAAGTGTTACCTGAACAATTTTGTTATGTTGGCTAGTTAATTGTCTATGGAGATTTTCAGTCCTCCAGGTCATGGTTGTCCCAAAGGTGCTTTTTTCAGGAGGCAGCTGGACTTTCTGGTTTTTCTTTTGAAGATGTTTCGCTTCTCATCCCAGAAGCTTCTTCAGCTCTGACTGGATGGTGGGGAAGGGAAGGATTTATACTCCTTGCAGACAGTTGGTCATTTGTATCCTTTTAATCGTATTTATGATGATGGATATGACGATCATGTGATCAGTTTTTGTGATTTTCTGATAAGCAAAGTCAGTAGGGAATCCACATTTATTTTATAACTGTGCCACTAACTTAACAATTGCGATGAATCACAACATCTCTGGCAAGAAAAGGCGTAAAATGAGGCAACAGAAATT